CGCGAATCAGCTTATGAATGGTTTGAGGCCATTGTCAGAAGAACATATCGGAATGCTGTAGAGGGCCAGGAGGTCAAAGGTCCGATGTAGCATCCCCATCATGGAGGCATTCAACTCCACGAACTGCCGGGTGTACTCAGAGGACGCCTGCAAGAGTATAAGATACATCAGTATTCCGCGAAATATCAAATAAACTGAAATGAAATGCCAATGCAAGATGCAAAATGAAGTAATACATACCAGAGGCAAGTCGGGGATACCGGCTAACTCATGGCCAGCCGGGGGAGGAGCAAAGGGGATCTGGTAGGTCTCCCCATCCTGCCCTCTTTATGATAGTACAGTGGGCAGGGCGGGCCAGCCAGTCCCCCGTCCCCCCCGAGCTCCACTCCTGCCATGCACTCGAGCCCTCCTCGATGTACCTGCTCCAGCCCCAGCTCCCGCTCCAGCTCCCGGTGCCGCTGGCCTCTCTCTCTCAGCTCGGCGACCACCGCTCAAAGGTCGCATAATGTAGGTCCGGACGTACTCTGCGTAGTCGCCCTCGCCTCTGTGATGCTCTGCTCCCCAGCCGACGGTGTAGTCCCTCATCTCCTAGGCGGCGAACCTCTCTGTATCTCTCATGTGGGCAGGAGGCGGACCCGGCACTATCTACTCCGGTAAACCTAGGGTCTGACGCAAGAAACGCTCACCTAGGTACCAAGCCTGACAGACCGGGCCCTCCAACAGGATCCGACAACGGGCAGTCTCCCCTGCGCCCTCATAGTGGTCCCTCACCACGGCTGGCAACGGAGCCCAGGGCTGCCAGGTGATCTGAAAATAATATGCAGTTTATTATCTATCTGCTATTGAAAACATACGGTGCAAAGCAAAGCCAAAAAATAAAACTCTAAAGTTGAACATACCTCCGCGGCAGTGATGGTGTCGAAGTATCGGCGGAAGAAAATAAGAGACTCCCGTGGTCTCCGCACGCATCGCACATTGAAGCAATGAGAGAACGGGGACGCCGAGTGGTATCTCCTTATCGGGTACTGGGGCAAGCCTGGAAAGTAGGCATACACCCACAACTGCAGAACAAGTATCAGTATGACTATCAGATAAGGCAGAATTACAGAATAAGAGAAATAGGAGAACCATGTGTTGTGCAGTGTATTGTGCATGTGTTGCAGTATCAGTCAGTGTAAAGCAGAGTATATGTGTGCCGGTGTTGCAGTGTACAGTCAGTGTGGGGCAGTGTACAGTATATGTGCAGTGTGCAGAATACAAAAAGCAGAAAGCAGGAATGCAAAAAGGGAAGAGGACGTACCCCCAGCTCGCCAGTAGCCACGAGGAGCTGTTCGTGAGTGAGAAGAAATATAACTCATATGTGGCCAGGCCTGTGCCACCAGCTTCGAATGGCAGATTCGCCTGACGTCCAAGCAGCGAGCGCTCAACAGGCATAAGGGCACAGTGTTGATCGGCGAAGAGAGTCGTCCCGAAGAGGAAACAGATGAAGCCCCGCGCATACTGGTCCACCTCCTCTGGGGACATCTGCGCCTCCTCTGCCAAGGCCAGCTGGACCCAAAAGTGGCTCTCGAACCAGGAATACCTGACGAACCCCGCTCGAGCGAGGGGAGGCTGAGTGCCGAGTTGGTACAGTTGGACAGCGTCCCACTCATCCATATTCGCGTCGAAGGGGATCGGATCACCCCCTACCCCAATGCCAGTAAGCATCGAGAAGTCGTAAGGGGTCATCGTCCTGTCCCCTGCGACGGAGAAGTGGAAGAAGTTGGTGGTATCCCACCACCTCCCCGCTAGAGCAGCAAGTAAGGGCCTGCAATTAGTCAGTCGAGAGAGCCCCCTGCAGAAGATGCCAAAGCTGGCCTCGTCGACGATGTCACGAACCGCATCTGGCAGCTCGAGGTACCAGTCCCAAGCAACGGTGTTCCCATACCCGCGGATGGTATGGGAATCCCCCTGTAATCAAAAACAACAATTGCAAGGCAATATTCAAAATGCAGTTCTAAGAAGCATAAAGGTATACAGCATGTGTGCATGTTTTCGGATTCAAACAGATACCGGGTGCCGGTGTGCTCGCCAGTGAACTACAGCGTGTGATGTGTCAGCGTGTTTGGGTGGTTCAGGGCAGATGTAGCATGCGTGCAAGTTTTTAACAGATTCAAACAAATACCGGGTGCTGGTGTGCTTACAGTGAACTACAACGTGTGATGTGTCGATGTGTTTGAGTGGTCCAGGACAAATACGGCATGCGTGTATATTTTCAGACTCAAGCCAATACCGGGTACCAGTGTGTATGCAGTGATATACAGTGTGCGCCGTGTGTTTGGGTGATTCAAAGCCAGTGCAGTAGGTGTGCATGTGTCAGTCTCAAACAGATATCAGTTGCACGTATGTTTACAATCAACTACAGTATACAGTATATCAGAATTAAGCAGTTGAAGAGCATAACCAGCTACGGCAGTTTTGCATCCTACATTGCAAAAAGTAAAGCAGAGAAAGAAAGTTACCTCGGAAGCGCCGAAGGACAGGTGGGAGGTAGGCTCACGCAGTAGTAGCTCGGGTGGCACGTGCCTATCAAAGCTCCTGAACTGGCGTAGTCCGTCAGGGAGCATCACATGAACTGCAGGCCTGTAGGTCTCCGGATCGAACGGCCGGATATGAAGTGGCAAGGGCTCGGCCTCGGGGTCCATCTCGTGCTCTAGAGGGATCCCACCCTGTGGAAGGTCGTCCGCCATCTCGAAGAGAATGCGAAAATGGCCGGAAGATGAAAAACCGGGGAAGAAGGCGAAAAGTCAACAAAAAGTCAAACCCCGAGAGGGTCGGAAAAGGCCGAAAAAGCCGAAGTACGGAAAAGGTACGGGTATCGAGGAAAACTCGAGGGAAACAAGCCCCGAGTGGCGGAAATAAAAAAACAAACACCGAAACAAAGTTTCGTTCTGTTGAAAATGTCCGAAACGCGAAGGAGATCGCGAATCGAACAACGAAACGAGGGCTAGAACGCACGAAAATGGGAGAATCGAAGGAGGAAAACACTCTAGAGAGAGAGAGAAAAGATTTTCGAGCAAAAGGAAGTGAACAAAATAGGGCTAGAAGCCCTATTTTAAAAGACCCGTAGCGAAATGACAGAACTGCCCCGATAGAGGGACTTTTTGCCGGTCGGCCACACTCTTTGCCGGTCGGCAAAATATTGTGCCGATGGAAATTTATGATGGCCGATGGATGGCCGGTGATGCATTCTGATGGCCGGTGGACATCCGGTGGTCTCCTACAGTGATTTTGGAGCCTCCTGCACCCTTGTTTGAGTTATGTGTGGGGTCCAAGGCCTTTAGTGCTCAAAACAGTGCAAAACAGTGCATTTCCGACGCTCAACCGGCCTCCATTTTGACCTCGGGTCGTGTCTTTTGTGTGTGGCACTCGAATTCGTGCGAGGTGTATCCTTTTCGTATCTTTTTGGCTTTTACAAAACTCAAAAGTTGCCCCATGCGTATCGCATATCAATCGCACTGTCTTGTGCGCTCGCGTTGTCTGAAACGCATCGCGCTATTTTGCGCATCTTAGTGCATTTTGCATGCATTCTATCGCGCTATCTTGCGCATCGCACTATCTTGTGCACTCGCGTTGTCTGAAACGCATCGCGCTATTTTGCGCATCTTATTGCATTTTGCATGCATTTCATCGCGCTATCTTGCGCATCGCACTGTCTTGTGCACTCGCGTTGTCAAACGCATCGCGCTATTTTGCGCATCTTATTGCATTTTGCATGCATTCCATCGCGCTATCTTGCACATCGCACTGTCTTGTGCACTCGCGTTGTCTAAACGCATCGCGCTATTTTGCGCATCTTATTGCCATTTGCATGCATTCCATCGCGCTATCTTGCGCATCGCACTGTCTTGTGCACTTGTGTTGTCTAAACGCAGCGCGCTATTTTGCGCATCTTATTGCATTTTGCATGCATTCAATCGCGCTATTTTGCGTATCTCATTGCATTTTACATGCATTCCATCGCGCTATCTTGCGCATCGCACTGTCTTGTGCACTCGCGTTGTCTAACGCATCGCGCTGTTTTGCGCATCTCATTGCATTTTACATGCATTCCATCGCGCTATTTTGCGCTTCGCACTGTCTTGTGCACTCGCGTTGTCAAACGCATCGCGCTATTTTGCGCATCTTATTACATTTTGCATGCATTCCATCGCGCTATCTTGCGCATCCACTACTACAAATATAGATAAAGATCACACTTTTTTAGTGTGATGTATGTTTTTTAATCACACCTTTTAAGTTTTATTAAAGTGTGGTCTTTAGGAGTGTGATTAAAAATGGTCATTTTTAATCACACTTTTTAAGTGTCATTAAAAAATGCTTTCATCACAACTTTTAAGTGTGATTAAAAACATTTAGATCACACCTTTTAGGTGTGATTAAAAACATTTAGATCACATCTTTTAAGTGTAATTAATAACTAATAAAACCTATGATAAAAAAAAAAAAGAATTTGACATATTTGAAGAATAATCAATATTATTTTTGTATGCGCATTTGAAGAATGTAATACACACCATATACTATATTTTGAATCACAACCATATATTGAATGGAATAACGTCATATATTTCATTAATGAAAGTTAAATGTTCAAAAGTATATACAAAGAAATTAATAAAAAGTTTTTAACTGTGATTACATATATTGAAAAATAAAAATAAAACTTGAAAAAACTAAGTTCTTGAATTCTTTGACCATATTTTGCATCTCTCCAAGAAATTTCTGACCTGAAAAATAAAAAAACAAATTAATTTAAAAACCGCCAGAAGCATATGAATAAACTTACTAATTAATTTATAAACTTACATTTAGATCTATATTTTGAATCATAACCACATATTGAATAGAATAACGTCATATATTTCATAAATGGAAATTAAATATTCAAAACTATATACAAAGGAATTAAATAAAAAAAATTATCTGTGCTTACATATATTAAAAAATGAAAAAACTTAAAAAACTAAGTTCTTTAATTCTTGGACCATATTTTGCATCTCTCCAAAAAATTTCTGACCTGAAAAATGAAAACACAAATTAATTCAGAAACCGCTGATGCATATGAATAAACTAAAAAGTTAATTCAGCAAACCAAAATAAGAACATTAATCATTTCTACTTGATCTTAATCATTTTGGAAGCATAAAAATGTAACTTAGAAACACAGATGGCAGCTGCAAACACACAAACCATTTAAGCATGTGTATTTCATAAGCAATGTTCTAAAAATAATAATTCATTCTAACTTAGTCTGCATTGTTTCAAGGTAATAAATCCTCTGCATGATGACTTGAGTGATCTCGTGAATTAGTTTGTCATGGATTACATTGTAAAGAGAGAAACCACCTTTACATTAACACCAAGGATGCAAAATATGGATGACCTTTATAAAAATAACCAAGTATTCAACAGAACTCTACTCTGAAAATTTACATTGTAACACTCATACAGGTTCTGGTCATATATAACTTTAAACAAAGTTTCAAAGGAAAAGAAACCACAAATGTGCCAATAACATTAATTAGAGCTTTTGAGTTAAATAAAATCTTGGTAACAGAAAAAAAGGATAAAGTGTATAAAATTCTCTGGAAAGAGCAAGAATGAAACATTAACCAGAAGCAAAATCTCAACAGGTAAAATTCCTGCATATGCCCATTAAACTACATCTTACTCAGCCCATTAAACTACATCTTACTCAGCCTTTATGCAGCACATACACATCAAAAAATTATTAATGGATATAGATGCAAAAGCATAAAATTAGTGTTTGAGAGAGAGAGAGAGAGAGAGAGAGAGATAAGCATGTTTAATCCACCAGTTAATTATGAAGAAGAGATTCTGCAAATCAAATCCACAACATACTTTCGTGGTCTTAGCTTCTTTTTAGCTTCCTTTGACCGCATTTTAACATGGTTTTTAGTCGATTCATCCAAGACACGCTGCACATTCAGCTTGCGCCAGGCACACCCTGATTCAACACCACTACAAAAAAATTCACTTTTAGCAGCCGCCAAAACTATCGCTAAAAGCAGAAAAAAGCGTCACTAAAAACTAAAAAACCTTTACCCGCGGTTGAAATAGCGACAGCCAAACCGCCGCAATAGCCCCGTCAACATATCCTTATAGTGACGTTTTCCTCAAACGCTGGTATAGTTATTTTTATTGTGACGGTCGATGTAGTGACAGTTATAAATGTCGCTATATCTTAAATTTACCCATTATTTGCTAACTTTATAGTGACGGGTCAACTGTTGCTATATCTTTCACTTTTTGTGACATTTTGTGAACCGCTGCTATATTTTAATTCTTTTCCATCTGTTTTACACTGTCGCTATAGCCATAAAATTCTTTTTGTATTTTATTTGCAGCGACAGTTATTAATCACGGTTATAGGCTATGTTTACTATTCAATTACCAATAATATATAACTTGAATGGAAGAGAAAAGACTTCCGAGGAGAATCTTCGTTTTAATGTACATTCACAATGGATAGTGGAATAGTATTCAAATGGACCATACATCTATATATAGCAATTTGATAGTGTAAAGAAGTTCCATTTTTTTATGAGCCGCCATAGATATTGAGCCAACTTTGAATAGCATGTAAAATGTGTGACAGGATGACAACATGCACGCTGTCTGTAGATGTGTCTCAAGAGACCTTTACAGTGATAATTTTAGAAGGCAGATTTTGGATCAAAAAAATATATATATAGAAATAAATAAGGAGAGAGTAGAAAAAACAAAAATACACCTACATATACATCAATGTCTCTCATCTCTGTTCCCTAAATTTATATTCATATGCATAGCAAATAAAAATATATGAAATATTTTTTCTAGTATCCATGCCATGTTAGTATTCTAATTTTTTTGAAAATCGATGTTGTCTGTGTTCGTACTAGTGTCCATGGTAGCGTTTTAAAGTGTGATGCAGATCTACAAGAGGCATATTAATTGTAAGATTCCCCAAACCTTTTGCAGGAAAATGCATAATGATATAAAACTCACCTGCAACATACAAGAAATAGCAGGTAACCATGTAATACTTGATAAAGCCGCTCACAAGATGATAGAAGAATTTCTCAGAAGTAATAGTGTTGGCAAGCCGTTGGTTGAGAATGCGGCCATATACAAACAGCATAGCAGTGAAGAAAAAATGCCTGTTGAAATTAAAAGCAAACAGAAACAATTTGTCATATATAGCAATCAAACTCACTTGGAGATCATTGACAGAAATTTTGGATGTTAGTGAAACCCAAAAACAGGGCAAAGAAGGACAAGCTGGCCGTTGAAAGATACAACATGTTTGTTACAAATTATACAATTGTGTCAAAATTTGGTTCACTTAGAATTTAAATAAATTGAAAAAGCTCATTAGTTGTCATTCATTTAACTAATGAGCTTTCTCCAAGAATAGCTCTCCTAGATAAACACCACACTTCAGTTGACAGTTGAACATTGACAAGAATCTGGTTTAACATACCAATTCAACAACCTAAATCCTGGGAGGTCCCTTTCTTCGTGTCCTTTCCTGAGTAGATTGAACAACTCTTTTATCATAAAAATTTGGATAACCACGACCATGGCCCAAATATAGAGATGGCCCATGTAGATTATGAATATAAAGCCCCCAATCATCCAAATAGATGAATATGTGCGAGTCAACATTGATCTGTATTTGTTTTGATCATTAAGAAGTAAATGGCTTCCATTTTCTTTGCCAACCTCAGGAGTAACCTCACAGCCAAAAGGGAAAAAAAAAGGAAGAAAACATTAAACCTGACATTTAGAAGAAGCCATACACTCCTTTCAAGATTTTATCCATTTTGTTATTGTAGTAGGTAACTATTAAAAAGACAAACAATTATTAGTTATATTATATTCTTATCACAAACCAACCCATAATTGAATTGTTTATAATAAATTTGAGCTCATATCAAAATTGAAATTCATATTATTATTTATATTATTTGTTTTTGATCAGCAAATCAAGAAACTTTATTGATGAGAAAGCCATATATAACATATATGAATTACATCAATAAAGAGGAGGCAAGACAAGAGAACAAACATAAACAAGCTCAAGCCAAGAAAGTTGGTGAGGGACCAATTTCATAGACTATCCTTCATATTTGACTGGAGAACTACCACGGAACTATGGCTTTGATATTGTAGGTTTAAGTAGGGATCCTGTGGCTTTCCAGAAATATTTCAAGTATGTATCATTTTTTCTTAATGTTTGTCTCTTGGCACAACAAATTTTTTAATTTTAATTTTAATTTTTATGTGGCTATGTGTAGTTAATGTTTGGCCAACAGAGTCAGTTTATGGATATGAATGCAGATTTCCTATCACTAAAGTTTGAACTGTGGCAAAGAGTATGCAGTGCAGACTTAGTGTGGCTATCATCTGGGAGGTCTTACATGAGCAATGAAATAGTAACCGCTACTTGTTTCAAACAATGGCTAACCAAATATCCTAATCAATTATTAGAATTTTGTGACATGAATGTATTACTGTGGAGAAAAGCGGATGTTACCATTATTTATAGTTTGTAAAATGCAGTATGATGTCCTAGATATGATAGGCTTGATTGAGGGTGAATATTGTAATTATACTTATTAGTGATGGTGAACGATATTTTCTACCTAAATTGCAACTGCCCAGTGATCTGTTTTGTTTTGGTTTTTTTGCAGCTTTGAAATACTGCATGCTCGCTGGGCCATGCTTGCAGCGCTTGGTGCTCTGGTTCCTGAACTTTTAGAGCTAGTAGCAGCCCAGAAAACCAGCAGCAAACCTAACACCAGCAACAGACCAGTAGCAGCAGCAACAACAACTAAATTATTATATACATTATTAGTATTATATATATAATGTTTTACTACCCACAGAGAACGACAAGAACATAATGATTGGCAAAAACATACCACTAGACAGAAAGCAACAAAGGAAGACAAACCAATCAAGAGCAACCAAGGAAAAAAAAAAAAAAAGAAAAAAAAAAACAACACCAATACAGTAGCAGCAGGGGCACAACAACATTACAGCAACATTACAAAACCAAACTCCCCTGTGACACAGCAGCCAACAACTCCTGTAGCAGACAGACCCCAACTGCAGCCAAAATCAAAGAAGGAAAGAGGTTCAAAATCCACCATTGCAGAGTATATACTAGGTCATATGTAAAAAAGATTCAAATCAGAATTTACATATTAGCAGGCAAGTGACACATGCATGGTATGACCTAAATTTGGAAGAAACGCCAATTGGCTTACAACTTTTAACAAAGACCTCACAGGCACACAATTAGATGGAGCATTCTTGGCTTAAGAGAGGGAAGGAAAGAGGGTTTGTTTGTGTGCCTAGGAGGGAAATAGAACAATTCCAGCCAAGAAAAAATTTTTTTCCTAAGGCAATGATACAAGATAAAAAATAAGAACAATTCACATCACACCCAAAAAAGCCATTATTATTCATCTATCTCTCTCTTAGCAAACACCCAGTGCAATTATAATTCCCACATTGCAAAAGAATACCATAAACCCAGTAAGTTCACTAAATGAGATAACAATTAACTAACTCCAATTCCAATTCATCTAGAAAAAAAAAAGAGTAAATAAATAAAGATAGAGAAGCTCCAACAAATAAGAACAACAAATAGTGACAGAGAGAGACAGAGTACAAAACTAACCTACGAATTTTTAATTTTTTTAAAAAATTTTTTATGCGATTTCACTTTTAGTCATGTTTTAACTTGGGAGCTTCGTGATTTACATGTTGAAAGCTATCCAAAAATTGGGTCTTTAAATTATCATGAAATCTGGGAGTAGTTTGGTTTGAAATTTGTACTCAGATTTTATTTTATTCGCAATGACAAACCGATAGCTTAGTTTATTTAACAAAGAACAGAGAAAATCCAAGCATTTCAGACCCATTAGAACAACACACGAACAACAGAAACAAAATGAAAATATCAGAGAAGAAACCTAGAGTTCAAAATGGAGAAGAGAGGGAAGGAAACAGAGATACATGTGTACGTGAGAGTCCCTTCCAATCAGATTGTGGGAGAATGCTTCGGTAAAGAGCTGGTCCCAAAGCCATGGCTCTGATACGTCCTCAACACGCCGCGGTGGAGGATGAATGAAGGCTCTGATACTCAGCAAAAGAAGTGTTGATAGACTAGGGCACAAATTGTAATCAAGGAGAAAGAGTTGAACGGTTTGTTTTTTTTTTTTTTTTTGTTTTTTGACTGAAATTCTGATATGAGTGATTGAATGGATTGAGAGGTTGGGTGTGAAGTTGCTTCACCGCACTGGTTGATCGATTTGAGTGATCTGGCCGATCTTCTCGGACAAGGTCATTCGAGAGAGTAAGTCTTTGATTCTGGATTCGATTGGGGAGTTAGGTTTTTGTAAATGGGATTGTTGTTCATGTATCTCTCTCTT